CACACACACACACACACACACACACACACACACACACACACACACACTTTCTCTCTCTGTCTCAAGTCATTCATTAATACAATCATCCCTCTCTTTTAACTCATACATTTTATAGCTTAGAATCAAACTTCAGACTAAAAATATTTTGTTTTAAATTATCTATATTAACATGTATACTTTTTTCCTTATCATTATTCCATAAACAATATAGTACAACATGTACTTAGATAAGATTTGAATTATGAATAATCTGCACATGATTTAATGTATGAAACTATATGCATTTTTATATGAGGGACTACTTGAGTATCCTTAAAATTTGGAATACACAAGGTACCCTGGTACGACTTCACACATACCAAAGGTTCAGTGTAAAGTTTTAACCTGGTCCTATTATTTAAACCTTTTACAAGCTTTCAATAATATTATATTACTAATAACTACAAGATAAATTTATTTATATATAGGAATGTACAGCACAAGAATTTTCTGAAAATATTCTGTAAGTTCTTTTCTTTACATTCATAGTATCTGATGATAGATATTCTGTACTAATACCATATGGGCTCTTTGCACAAAAGACATACTGTGGTTTTATACATTTAGCCCTGCCTTTATGTCTAGCAGGATGTGATGCTGAATTCTGTGGTTAAAATATTTGGCAATATTTAACATAGACTGGCTAATTTAAATCAATAAGCAAAACAAGACTGAAACTTGTTTTAAGAAAAAGAAGAAAAAAAAAAACCTACCCTGCCCCCAAACTTTGAAACTATGCATATTTTCTTTCCATTTATTTTACAAACATGAGTGGAAAGTTTTTACATAAGATTATAAACAACTGAGAGACCACAGAAAAATCCAGTCAAAACATTTGGTTAAGCTTAGGCTTTTGGGACCTTTCCAGTTTCTTTGGAACAAACAAAACTTTCATTGTTTCCCTGATGGAGAAAATGGTTCTCAATAACTGCATTTAAAAAATATATAAATCATGTTAAAGCTTACCGATTTGTTTCTACGTTTATTACTTTAATGCCCAGCATTGTTCCATACAGCACAAAGTGTCCAGTTTCATCAAAAACGATATTAATTAATCTCACAGCATCCACCTTCTCCAGTTCACGTTCCACGGCCATTCGTCGGCCAAATTCCATGTCTGGTAGTTGTTGCCTCATCTGCTGCAGTTCAGTAAACATCTACGAAATAAGCTGAGCGTTAACAAAATAACTACCTACATATTTATGCATACATAGTCACACATATATAAATTAAGACAGTGGGCACTGACCAGAAACAGAACGCATTGAGGGTCAATAAGGATTTGTATATTCATATAATCTGAGACATTCTAAACCCTATAAACAGGAACATTGGTGAATTCAATCACAAAACGTAGTTCAACGCCAATGTGGTTGTTTCTGACTGTAATTCCATCAGTCTGAAGTCTGAGGCAGGAGCACTCTGAGCTCTATGCTAACCTTGGCTACACTCACTGTGTAGCTCAGCTTGGCCCACAGTATGAAAACCAGTGTCAAACAAAACAACATACAAATAACACTTTATATTACAGGGAGGTGTAGGTTAGTTGTAGGTTAAGTGCCTAAGGTCCTTGGTTTGGTCCCTGTTACCAGCCCCCGAAAACTATACTAATAGTAACTGATTTTTCTAACTAAGAAAAAAACAAAACACTAAGCCAGTTGATTTATAGAACCAGTGCTTTCTTTACAAAAAATGATATGTCTGCCCATTACAAGTCTCAGAGTAGCACTTTTAATGAAATACCACCCAAGTCATATAAGCGATCAAAATTTTTAGTAGGTTCATTACACAAAGTAAAAATACAGCTGGAATTTATTTTATTCAACCTAATATACACAAAATATTACCATTTCTATAACAGTTTAAAACTGAGAAAACTTTTTATATTACTGCTTTGTAATCTTTATGTACAGTCCTTTCGGTGCATCTTTATTTGGTCTAGATAGCAGCTGGACGTGCTAGTCTATACTTGTAGTCCTAGCATTGGGGAAGATGAGGAAGGAGAATAGTCTGGGCTACATAGGAAGCTCCTGGCCAGCACAGATGACAGAGTGAAGTCTAAGTCCCATTCCCTCACCTCCCCCAAACAAACAAACAGTCACATCAACAGTAGCTATTCATGTAAGGCAATTCAACTACATATAGCTTGTGAAATCCTGTATAAGAATCATGAAAAGAAAATATGGCAAATACTCAATTTTGCTGAATAACTTTTAAAGAAGTTTTTTTTATATTTATATGTATGTTTGTGTGTATTTGTGTAGATGTACACATGTATGCAGGGCACCTGCAGGGGCCAAAAGAGGATGTAAGATCTCCTGGAGCTGGAGTTCCAGGGAGTTGATAACTGTCTAACCTGGGTCCTGATGCAAGAACAGTAAGGCACCCTTGACCACTAAGCAATCTCTCCAGGCCCCTCTTGAGTAACTCTACTATCTTGCTATATCACAATTTTCAAGATGTGGGTTATACCAAGAATATATTATACTAGTATTCCAATAGCCTTATAAAAGATATTTTAGTCAGCATTTTAGACACGTAGGACATCAGTAGAATTCAAAGCTAACTCTTTATTATAGATGATAATGAGTTAGACTTACAACCCACTTATTTATATGTTTCTTTCATGTTTACATTAACTAAAATCTTCTCAACTTTTTCTAGACAAAGGAAGAAAAATATACAAAACTACAAAAAACAAGAGGTATGTTAAGAGTTTGAGTTACAAGTACATGATCTTACAGATCTTTTCTTGTCACTTATTTATGTGGCCTAAATTGCCTAGAATGTTGGATTACTTTTTAGTAGTGGGAGATTCATGATTATTTTTGCTGAGAACTTAGCTTTTAAGATACAGTTCTACAGACAGCCATCTATCCATATACATACATTTCATAAGTATCCAACTTGGAAAACACCTCAACAGAATCTTTTACAATATTCTGGTATTTAACATATGGTGTCTGTGATACAGAATGTACTGATACATTCAGTGATCCTGCATATTACAACTAATAAATACGAAAACGTAAAACTTCACATTAAATTTCTATTATACTAAGACTAGTTAGTTTTAAGTCACTGCAGTTTTTTCACTCATGCTAGGCAGCCATCTCCACAAACCCAAAAAGGAGCCCTGTGGAATTTGGAATTCCAGTTATTACTACTTTCTATACACATTTATACTTAGGTTTGGTATTGTAAATAATTAGTTAACTGATACTTGGTTTTCTTCTACCAAACTCTCATTTTCTATCTCAACTTCTGTCACAGCTCTACTCCTCATCTCCTGACACTTTAGTCCTATCACCTCAAAAAATGCTGAATATCACATAACCCACGTAGAGAAGAGCATCAGTACAAGATAAAACTAAGTAGACCTTTATCGTCCTAAGAGAAAATAACTGTGAGTACATATGTCTATGTATAAAAATATCTTTTATGAAATAGCTAAACATAAATACTATTAGACGATTAGATTTAATTGCACTTACACTTAATGACTCATCAAAGACCCTCATGAGTTTTCCGGTTAAAAATCTGAAAATTCTAACTTTTCTGTCTGATCCAATGGTTGCTATTTTCTTCCCATCAGGTGAAAAGCATATGCTGGTTGGATACGCCTTACACTTGGCAAATTCATATAAATCTGTGTCTGTTTTATACTCCCAGTTCACATTTTTAGGAAATTTATATTCATGTGGAGGTCCAGTCCAGTACTCAATCATTCCAGATTTGTCAGAAGACACCACTGCTCTGTAAACTGGGTTTAGTCTGATTTGAGTGAGAGGTGACACATGCAGTTTGTCAAAAATATGAAGTGGTTGGTTATCTCCTCGACCATCATAAATGAAAATTTTTCCTGTACTCTTCTCGGAAGCAGCAACTGAAGAGATGGCATCTCCTGGGCAATAGATCCACTCACATTGTCCAGGAGAATAGCTAAAGCAGTTAAAAATTGAAGAGGAGAAAAAGAAAGGTCAATACAATGAGCATTTCTTCCTAGCCCATCGCCACAATCAAAATGTCCTGTAAAGGACGGGGAGGAGCTACTAGGAACAGCTAGTGCGTTTCTTTCCACTTTTTTCCTTACAATGCTAGAAAGAGAAGCCAGGGCCTTTTGCATATTGAGTGCTCTACATTTGAGCTATACCCAGTCCTTAATTTCTTCTTTCTAATATTATCAGTGTAAAAACAATAATGTATGATAATGCCAAATCACAAGAGAATTGCACACTCACTTTTATTATGTAAATAGGAAACATAATTATGTCTGGGCCTTAAGGTATTCTGAGGCAGTGGGTGTCTATAAAACAGTTTATATGTGTAACTTTTTCATAGTTTAGCCACGTAATAGTATACTTTGTAAATCCAAAGAAAGCTATTGTTTTATCTTGATATTAAAACTGCAAGCATTGAACATTTATATATTGCACAATGTGCAAAAAAGAACTTGATGCATTTAATGTACCTAGGAAACTTTTAATAGGTGTTGTCTCCTGCAAAATAGTCAATTTCAGAGTTATAATGTTATACCAATCAGCATGGTGTTGATGCTTGATACCTTTTTTGAAGTCTTCATTTAGAGTTTCTATCAGTTCCTAAAACAGACTCTTCAGTATTCTCAAAGTAGTAATGTTCAATTATTTGTTATTTTTAAAAATAGCAAATGTCTGGGGAAACAAACTAGGGAATAAAAGAGAAGATAAAGTAGTGGTATTTGCATCCAAAAAAGAAAGAAAGAAAGAAAAAGAAAGGAAGAGATCTAACTAAACAGAGTAACTCTGGTTTCTTTGTGGTTCATAAAATCTCATTTCAAAATAAACTCCAAAATTTAGACTTGAACTATACATATACTGCAGTCCATCATAGTACTTTTTAAATAGTCTTGTGGAGTTAAATTCAAATGAGTTCACAAGAGTAGGGCCCCATGGCCTTCTTAAAGAAAAAGGTATCCTGCCCCATCTCCCATTTTTTTTTAACCAAGTGAGGAACTAGTAAGAAGGAGGAAGAGAATTCTCATAAGATATGAGTCTGCTGGCATTGGACTTTGGGTTTCCAAGTCTCTAGAGCTGTGGGGTAAGAGCTTGTTTCTTAAAAGCTTGTCTACCTTAGGGTCTTTTGTTATGTTGTTGTTGTGTTATGTTGTTCAAACAAAGTGTCCAAACATTCTGAAAATGGTATGACTTATAAGCTGACATTTATTTAGATATGTTTATTTTTAGTAGGTTATCTTTTAAAGTCATGCTTAAAACAAAGTACAAGTCTTATTACTGTACTATCCAAGCACATAGTTTGAACATTAGTATCAGTATACTCTGAAGTTTAAAACCACCAACAAATTCTAAACTTAGCCATAAATCATATAAAACATGAGTTTGTGTCTTACAAGTAAGTATAATATAGTAAGGAAAATATTCTGCCAGTAGTTAGGCATGACGGGTCTTCATCAATTTAAAAGTGTGTATTAGCTCGGTATGATAAATCTTATGATACTGTTTGAAAATTTGAAGCTGGGTGGTGGTGGTGCACATCTTTAATCCCAGCACTCAGGAGGCAGAGGCAGGGAGATTGCTGTGAGTTCAACCTTGTAGACCAAACCAGCTTGGTCTACAGAGTTAGAGAACAGCTAAGTCTACACAGAGAAACCCTGATTCAAAAAAAATCAAGAAAAAGTGTGTCAATAGAAAAGCAGGAAAAGAAGCCTCCAAAGCTTCCCAAGGTGAGATACATATTCTGTTCAAAAGTAGCCTGTGTTATGGTAAAGTTTAGCTTACAATTATTTTACTAAGTTAAATATACATATATACTGATATATAATATATGCTTTATAGAAAACTTACCCAAGCTTCAGCATATTGATCATGTCAAAGTTCACTACATCAAACACCTTCATTGCTTTATCATCACCCACAGAACAGAACAATGCTCCCTCAGAGCTAACTGCAATACTCTCAATAATTCCTATTAAAAAAATACATTCTAGTAAATACAAATAAAATAAATGAGCAAGGCTCAAAAAGAAATATCACAATATTTTAAAGGAAATTTTAATTAGTACAGCTTAAACAGGAGCTACAAAAAATTATGAAACTCTTACCAAGGTGACTACGAAAATGTTTAACAAATTCAATTCCTTCTTCTATTTTTTTCCAAAATTTAACATGGCCATCATGACTGGCAGTGATAATAAAATCTGTCCTGTATATATAAAAATTTTAAAGTTAACTTCCAAAACAGGTCTTTTAGTAATTTCAAAGCAAACATACACTGACAGCATTTACTACTTCAATAATACTTTTTTTAAAAGTTCTCATTACAAGGTAATTTCATACAACGTGCAGTTTACACTAGTCCTGATTCTGTGATCCTTCTGCCTGCCTCTGCCTTTCCAGCGCTGGGTGTATAGGTGTATGTGGCGTATGCTACCATATCTAGTTGAGGGTTTTGTCATTCCACCTTTTTTTTTTTTTTTACATTTTCCTTTTCAAAGACCATTGCAGAAATAACAGTCACTAATATTAACCCTAAGAGGTAGGATCAGAATTATTTACCAAAAAATGAATGAATGAATGAATGAATGAATGAATGAATGAATAAATAAATGAATAATGAGTTGGGCTTGGTGGTATAAACCTGTAATCCTAGCTACTAAGGAGGCTGAGGCAGGAAGGATGCCTAAACTAAAGAGGCCGTGCAAAGTCAGCTTGCACAACTTAACAAGGAATAGCCTGTCTCAAAACAAAACAAACAAAAAAATAAATGAAGAAATCTCTGTTGGTAACATTATACTTTAATATTCCTAATTGCTAAAATTACTCTAAAGATAGTTTTTTGAGGAAAATATTCTAGTTTTCAAAAGATTATAAAGACCCAAACCACTTGCACAAACAGAAAAGTCCAACATAAATTTATTTCATATCTTATTCAATATATTGAGAATTTTAAGTATCAAGTTTTAAACAATAATTTTCTCACCTATATAAAAACTAATACCATTTATTGAGCACAGTGTGCATACATTAAGTATTTCACACTATACAAAAGTTAGCTAGTCATCCTAGTTAATTTGACAATTAAACTTATTCACATTACACGACATCCATACTTGGTGAATGGTTTTAGATTTACTTAACCACAAGCACACATACACACACAGAAACAACTTTTTGTAAAACTCAACAGCTTTGGGTTAGAAAAGCAACGCTAATATCTGTAAGTTGTTTTATAGACTGACAAGTTTAAATTGTATTTGGTCAGAATTATCCTATTCTTATAAGAGATTTACATCTGAAATGCAATTTATGAGATCAAAAGTAGACTAAAGCATTCCATACAATTTTGATAATCACTGTCAATATCATCCAAGTCCATTCGCAGCTCATTCACCATCCAAATTTCTCCACTGGACTCCTGCTCTCCCTGTACCTATTTTGTCCTATTTGAATGCATTCATCTCAGCACATATAAAATGCTCCTTTTAAAAATACTAAATGTGGGCTCCCATGGGCTAGTCAGTAACCACGTGGGTTCCTTAGTAAGGGGAACAGGAGCTGTCTCTAACATGAACTCAGGGGCTGGTTATTTGATCACCTCCCCCTAATAGGGGAGCAGCCTTACCAGGCCACAGAGGAAGACAATGCAGCCAGTCCTGATGAAACCTAATAGGCTAGGGTCAGCTGGAGGGGGAGAAGGATCTCCCCTATCAATGGACTAGGAGAGGGGTATGGGAGGAGATGAGGAAGTGAGGGTGGGATTGGGAGGGAATGAGGGAAGGGGCTACAGCTGGGATATAAACAGTAAACTGTAATTAATATAAAAATTACAAATTAAAATTTAAAAACATATATTGAATGTGGAGCCAGGCACTGTGGCGCATGTCTGTAATCCTAGCACTCAGGCAAGCAGAGGCAGGTAGATCGCTGGTGAGTTCGAGGCTAGCCTACTCTACAAAGTGAGTCCAGGACAACCAGGGCTACATAGAGAAACCCTGTCTAAACAAACAAACAAACAAAAAAGGATGTTACTCTTGCTCACAGGTTCAAAATCCAGATAAAGAATAGAAAGCTAGAACTTAACCTTTTATGTTCTTTTGCTTCTACTGCCACTTAACTTTTCTACTCCAGTTTTCCTACCTATAAATGAAAATTTTATGACTCTTACAACTGTCCTTAAGATGAGATAATTAATGAAACACACCTCAGAAAACATTCAGAAATATTATGTTATAAACCAGAGTAACATTATTACTATTATTACCATTCTTTGAATTTTCCTATTTATGCTTTATCTCTTCTGTTTTTTTTGAGACAGCGTTTCACTGTATAGCCTTGGTTGTCCTGGTACTAGCTCTGTAGACCAGGCTGCCCTCAAACTCCGAGATCTGTCCACTGAGCACTGGGATTAAAGATGTGCCCGATCAACTGCCGGGACTCTTGTTATCTTCTGAAGGTCCTCTGATAATTCCAGGAGGTCTGAGTTACCATCATCTTCCCTATAAACACCAGAGGCCAACTTCTTATTTTTCCTATCTTAATACATTTTCTTCTTTAAGAAAGCTCTGGTAACTAGTTCAATTATTATTGATTTTTATCACCAAATATACATAGACACACTAAATGGCAGTTTACAAAGGTCTGTAACTCCAGTTCTCAGATACCAGGCTCACATGGGATGAAGACACACATGCAAAATACTCATATACATGAAATAAAATTCAAATAGGTAAAAAAGTACGATACACTTACTTGGTGCACACCACATGTGTGATAACATCTCTGTGCATGTAACTGCGCTCATACATGGATGCACTGGGGAGATTATCAAGGTAGACTCTTTCGAACTCTAAAACTGGGGGGGGGGGAGTGGTAAAAGTTATTTTAAAGAATGAAATTGACATTATTTAGAATCTTCTAAATTTTTGTATCTTCTTCCAAATTTTAATTTCTTTCAATAAATGTATGGGATACAAAAAAAAAAAAAAATCCAGTAGCTGTTATACCATGTATAATTTTTATTATTTCAGAAGTTACTCTGACAGGTTCCCAGAGTTTATATAAATATTGTTTCAAAGACTTTATGTTTGTGACAATGTATGCCAGGCACATACAGGTACCCAGTGAGGTCAACAGAGGGAGATGAATCCATTTGAACTGAATTACAGATGGTTTATGAGCTGGTTTGGGTGCTGGGAATCAAACTTAGTCTAGTGGAAGAGTCTCAAGTACCTCTAACAACTGGCTATACCTCTAGCTCCTGTTTCAAAGGTTTTGATAATCGTGAATGTTTCTGGCTCAATATGAAGGTTCAAAGAAATCTAAAGCTTTATGAAAGTAATGCACTCTGTATAACCATGTAGATCCCAGTATTAGTATTAACTAAAAAGCTAACAGCTATTTGTAATTTGTATGTTTATTTTTAAGACACCATTTCTCTATTAATTTGAGTAATTGATAAAGAACTGAAACCTGAAAATAAAATTAAATGCTTAGAAGTTTAGAGCTGAAAAAAATCCTAGCATATTTGTTGAGTACATTTAATATACTTTTCTAAGGGTACAACACCTAGAAAAAAAATCAAGGCACATCAAAAAAATCTTAATTTTATTATGAGCCATGATTAATTTTACTAGTAAAATCAATTTTAAAAAGAGCTATTTTCCAAATAAAATGCTCAAACATGCATATATAAAGTTGGTAAATTAAACATGACAAACTGTTAAGACTACTCCTATACAGCACACTCATAATTATGTCTGGCCAACTACTTTTTCACGTATTTTTTTGAATAACAGAATCCCCATTCTTATATGTGGCTACTAACATTTGTTTAAGCCTTTCTTTTGTTCTTATAGTAACTGTATGCTAAAAAAAGGTGGTAGTATTTGGTGATAATTAAAAAAAAAAAAAATCTTAAGTTTCCCTTTCTTATTTCTCAGCTTGGAGCTAGACTAGTAATGGTATAATTCTAAGAACGCAGGGCAATGAAAATGAGGGCCATATACTTGATATGTTAAGGCAAAAGTGCCTAGGAACATTTGGAGCTTCCACACCAATCTTGGGTTGCTTATTTTGGCACTTTCATACATCAAAGTAGTATTAGATTATCTTTTTAATAACGTTGTTAGTTGGAGTTTTCTGTAATTTACGTTATTCTATGTGTTCCAGATTGCTTCTGTTGTTGGTTAATTCATTTCAATATGTTCAAGAGTGCATGGACATAAATATGAAAAGACATAATTATTTTCCTTAACTAGTTTATTTTAAGATGGGACTTGGCTCAAAGAGTCAGGTTGATTGTCTGGCAACCTGAGTTCAATCTGTAGAAGTAGAAGAGCCCCGAAAGGTTGTCCCCTGGTCCCCACTCTTTTACTGTGTGTGTTCCTACCTCTCCAATCCCACCAACACATACAATAATAATAACTCAAATATTAAATACAGCTCAATTTGGGGCTGGATATAAGGCTCAGAGGCAGAGATACTTCTTATTTGGGCAGGCATGTAGAAGAACCCCCGCGCAAGGACAAGGTAGGGTTTTGAGAATGGGTAGAACTGTGAGATGTGCTGGGGTTGTGAAGAGAAACAAAAAGACTTATAGTCCATGTTAGGGAGTTTGGGCTTTGTTTTGAAAATGTAACGGTTTTAAGTAGTCGTTTCACAGCTAGAATTGAGCTTACACACAAATCTAGCAAGCTTAAGCAACTTTCCTTGGGCTTGATAATTCATTAGTAGACGAGTCGGGTTTGAAAATTTAAGTCTTTATGATTCTAAGAACCCGTACTCCTTCCCACAACTGCAAAATCAAACATTAGGGCTTCCTACTTCACGTGGTAGCTTAGAGGCCAATAAAAGCACCCAAACACAAAGACACAGGCAAGTACTAGCTGAAACATCTACGATTAGCAGTCTGGGATCAAAAGTGTTACACAGTTCGAAAAACAATGGTCTTATAGTAAGGCCAGTTCCAAATCACTATTTGGGAACGAAATGTAGGACCGTCGGTTCTAAGCGCACAGACCCACAACCTCACTACCTCATGCATGCACGCTTGCAATCAACCCTCGCCCTCCGCCGAAGTAGCCTTCCAGCTTGCTCTCGGGCTCTCCGCAGCTACCTTTCCTCTTCTTGGCCAGTGTTGCCTCCACCGGTAAAGGCCCAACCCAGCGCTCTTCATTCTCATCATCATTTTCTTCGCTCCCCGCCACTGCTAGTTCTCGCTCGCCGAGTTCCGTTTTCCCTGCTTCCTCTGGGTCCCGGCGCCTTCTCCTTTTCTGCTGCGAATCACTACCACTCTCGGCCGCCATGATGTCTGAGGCGTCAGAAGCGACGCGACAACCGAGCCCTGTCGTAATTCCGGAGCTGCGGCGCCGCCTTCTGGTGTCATCGGCCGACAGCGGTTCCTGATTGGATGGGGCGGACCGGAGCTCATCCAATCAGCAAGCAGCGCGGGCAAACAACAGGGCCTGGCTGCGTTGACAGCGCGCTGAGGAGACGCGGGGACTGAGGTGCGTTGGCTGTGGCTGGCGACAGCAGGCCGCAGGGGAGAGCGCTGTAACGGTCGTAGTTTTCCATCAAGGAGGGTGGCAGTGGGTTTGGGGGACCCAGCCCGCCCCCCCTCCCGAAATCAGACGCTTACGGCCTGCGAACTGGACGCGTCGCGCTTCTCAGCCTCTCGGGCCTACGCCGTCCCAGAACCTACCTGGTTACATATCTGTAATTCACCCCATGCGCTCCCATTATCGGAAGACTTTTTTTAGCTTGGCGAGTGTATGTTATGTGAAGCCGGAAAATCAAGAAGGGGTGTGTATCGTGTTCCGTGTTTCCGTTTGCCTGTTCACGAGCCAGTTCTGTCTTCAAGGATTAGTCTAGTTATATACAACGAATCTCTGCTGTTTCTGGAGCTCTGTATTTCTTTATAGATGTTAGAATTTACTCATTAAAGTGCGATGGGTTGGTTTTTTAATGCGGTGGGGTTGGCTTTTGTTGTTGTCTTTAGGATTTTAATTAAGATAAAATGGGTTCACTTAGGGAGGATTGACATTTTTGCTTCATTGACTCCGGTGACACAGGGACATGTTGTAGTGCTGTGTCTATTTTACAACTTCTCTGTTGGTAACTTATTGGTTAAGCAATATAATAATTTTAAATTGTAAGAGTAAAAAATACATTGGGGTGGTTTTATTCTGATTTGCATTTGACATTGTAACCTAGAGGCCTTCTTTGTTTTTATTTCTCTGTCTACAGCCGTAAAATGACCTGACTTTGAATCTCTTGATATACAGTCATCTCCTGTTCTTTGCAACAGCCAGCTAGTAACCTCATGACACTTTTAATTACTTGAAAATTTTTAGCTCTTGGATGGCTATAATCCTTTTTAACATGCTATCATTGTTTTAATTGGGCCATGGTTTAAGTGGGCTAATATCCAAAGTTGCTTTATATTCTTTGAGTTCTCTTAAAGTTAAAAAACAAAACAATTTTGTATACCTTTTCCCCCTACTCTTAAAATTTTGGCTGTAACCCTTAGCCTTTTTTCCAACCCCTATTCTCTATTCTTTTATGTATTCCTGTAACTCCTTATGTATACCACGCTGTCCTTGAACACACAGAGATCCATAATAGATATGGATAGATGAAAAGATAGATATCTTTTCAACACACTAGTTTTGTTGTTGTTGGCTCTATATCTAGTAGTGGAAATTCTGGATCCTATGGTACTTCTGTTTCTAATTTTTGCTGTTACATCAATACTCTTTTCTATAATGGTTATGTTAAAATATTCCCTCCAACAGCAGTTTGTTCATGTTTTTCTTTCTGTGGAAAGGATTTTTATTACTCACTGCTACATTTAGCAAATGGTTATTAAATGCATGTATCTTTTTTACTTTAGTTTTTTCAGTAAGGTGAAGAAAATTATAAAGGATATGTCAGAGAATCAACAAGAACTAGATTCCGACATTACTACAGATGGGGATGTTGTTATAGATAATGAAGAAGAACTTATTAAACAATGTGAAGAAATATGGAAAGACATGGAAGAAGTAAGTATCAACAGATAAAAGTGATGTATTATTTAATATCACTGGAAGAGAATGGCTGAGAGATTAAGAGCACTGTTTGCTCTTCTAAAGGTCCTGAGTTCAATTCCCAGCAACCTCATGGTGGCTTATAAACATCTATAATGAGATCTTGTCCCCCTCTGCTGGTGTGCAGGCAGAACACTGTATATATAATAAATAATTTTTTTTTAAAAAAAAGCTTCACATAATAAACTTAGGAAAGATACAATGTTAGTTTCCCAGTAGCTATTATTTTATAAATTATTTATATAGATTTCATACCTAAAAGCATTACCTTAAGAAATTTTATGCAAGATAGACTATAGAAAGAGACAAAAATGATGGTAGTTCTGGCCCTCAAGGAGATTTATTTTATAGAGGCAATAGACATTCATAATATTATATACGATGCACCATTAATAGTATTATGATATAGATATGGGCTGCAGGATCTATTTAAATTTCCACATAAGATTAGGAAGGTAATCAGACTAGTTCAAAGTGAATATATCAAAAGGAAAACAGATTCTTTATTTCATTTATGTGTTTTTTTAGGAGGGTGTTATATTGGGTTAGAATAAAAAGGGTTAGAATAAAAATTTTCTGTGGATTATAAGTATGTCACTTTTTCTTTACTTTTTAAATCAAGTGTCAGAATAAATTATCACTTACTGGAACCGAGACACTCACTAACTCAAATGCTCAGGTATGAACTTTGTATTCCATTCAAGAACATAGGTAAGCAGAATTCATTCTTTTTGGATAAAAAGTTTATCTGTTTATATTTATTTCAGCATAACAGCTTTGTTAATTCCTATATTTTTTAATTGAAAATAATTTTGTGTGTGCATTTGATGGGGATGGTGGGCCATTCATGCTACAGCATGTGTCTGTGTGTATATGTGTGGTGGGGAGACAGAGGGCAGAGTCAGGGATTGAATTTAGAAGGCCAGGCTTATGCAACAAGTAGTTTTACCCACTGAACCATCTCACTGACACTACTACCTAAATCCTTAAACTTTTCTGTTTAAAATAAAAAAAACAAACAAACCCAAGAACTAATTATATGTTGTGTCCAATAAATACACTTAACCAGCAAAGATGCCCCAAAACTTAGTATCAAAAGATGGAGAAAAATACTAAGGAAATCGAAAATGTAAACAAACAGACATAATCATCCTTATATCTGACAAAATAAACTTCAAACCAGAACTGATTAGAAAAAATACAAAGGGACACTACATGTTAATAAAAGGAGTATCAACGTACTACAACTGTAGACTTTTACGCACCAAATATTGGAGCTCCTAATGTAATTTTTGTATCTATAAAAATGTTTTAGAGTCTATATATATATATACAAATGTTCTAGAAAGGATCTAATTGAATATACCACTTTGAAATGCATTATTTGTTAGCTAACGTATCATTTTTCTGGGAAAATATGGTTTCTTATAGAAATTAAGACCTTATTAAATATGAATCGTTGGCCATTGGACCTACAAAGGTACACTAATGGCTTTTACATAGCGCAGCAAGCACTGACTTTGAGTGGAGAGTTTGTATACTTGTAAACATGTACTTTCCTAATTTACAAAGAACCAAAGAATATAGTTTGTGGTTTCCTGTTGTGTTGAGAGTCCTCAAGATCATTTATAAGTTTGATGATTCTCAGAGGATGCATAGGACTCAGAGTCAAATAAGCAAGGAGAAAAGGTACATGGATAAACTTGAGGAAATGTGATATGAACTTTCAGGATTTGTCTCAATAGAGTCACTTAACACCTTAGGTTAGCCTGTCTACTTGTGATGTGAAACACTGTTTACCCTTAGAGAAACTTGATGTTCAAAATTGTTAGTGTGAACTGGTGATATGGTCAGTCTCTACCTAGCAGATACCAGAATACCAGGAGGTAAAGCAAGTATTCAACATAAACATTGAAACATATTGTTTGCTTGAATAGTTTTGGCATTGTAAGCCACCCTTAAAGATTTAGATTTTTGGAAACCATCTTGAAATTATTCCATGTTTGCCAATCCAAGTCAAGGACTGATGCTATGAGCAGACCTTTTAAAACAGCAGTTTGTGCTTTGTTTTGATACCTCAATTCTGTGTGCATAGTACCTTCATATCTTTAGCACTCAAACTCGGCTTCCTGTATTTTGTTTGTTTTTAAAGGCAGGGTGACATGTAGCATACCCTAGCCCTGAACTTGCTATGTTGTTAAAGTTGATCTTAAACAGAGTCTCTGAGTGTTGATTTGCAAGCATATACCTGGTTTTTTTTTTTTCTGATACAAAAAGTTAGGCACTTTTATGGAGAGAACTTTTATATTTTATTACTTTTAAAATATTTTGCTGTTTTACTTTTAGAAAGAGTTGCTTAATTTTATAGCATAATCAAATTTATCATTTTCATACCAGAAACATTCAACATTGTTTGTCTCAGGTTAAGATATTTACATTTTCCAAACTACTAGTGTATATAAAAAAATAACTTTGATATATGGCTCTAAAATCAGTCTCATCATTATCTTCACATATATATTTTGGTGGGTTTTTTTTTTTTTTCAGCACTACTAAAAGCAGTTTTAATATTTTGAAAGATCACAGAGAGGAAAATCAACATATTTAGTGAAAATTTGACTGGAAATGCTGGCAAAACATAGCATGCTGTTTTTCTTTTCGGGGAGAATGTCTTGTTATGTCAGTATTGTTGAAGGATGTTTTTGTGTACTGTGCAAATTAATGATGATTTCTGTACCCAGAGATCTGGTTACTAAGGTCATTATTCTGAAGCATCTTTTGTCTTGGTATGTTGTAAACATTGTTTTCCATCACCTACTAAAGAGCTGAACAACCAATAGCTGGGCAGGAGAGGATAAGGCAGGATTTCCAATCCTCTGAGGGTGTCCCAGGTGGGGAAAAAAGAAGAGAGTCACCATTGGTACTCAGATTCCACAGCAAAACTAAGATAGCAGATGTTAGGACGTAGACCAGATACCAGATCAGTGTTAGAACAGCTGAGTATCTGCCCAGCTATAGTGCCTGAACTTTTAACGAATATAAAGTTTTCCATGTCATTATTTGGGAACTGGGCAGGTATATGGTGCAGTTTTTTATGCCTGCTCTAGCTCCCAAGTAATGACATGCAGACCTATATATATATATTAAAAGCGTCGGCACTCTTGCTGTGTAGTTACGCAGCTATTTTAACCTAACTATGCTGGCCTACTTCCCAGCCA